AATAAAAACAAAACAAAAATAGTATATATATGTATGCTCTTCCTGATGAAAGCAAAACTATCCTAAAAAATTATACAAGATCCCTAAAAAATTTTATTAAGAAATCATATTTAACTACTAGTTATCGTAGAATACTTTACAAAATCAAAAAGTAAAAAAGTTTTAGCCATAAAAAATTAAAATTTATTCATTTTTTAAAATGATATTTAATATATCTTAAATATGTTATTAAATTATTTAACTTAATTATGTCCATAATCCCAATCTATATCTCTATCCTTATTATTAGATGATTTATTTCAATTCGATATAATATTATATAAATTTAATATAATATTCATTTATATCCTAAAACTTCTACTGTAATCCCAAAGTTTATTGAATTAGGATAATTGCCTTGTCTGCTTATTTGAATAATTTTTCTTTCATCAAGTTTTAAAGAGCAATTCAAGGAATTAATATTCCAAGCATTTTGACTATATGGTAGTCCAGATATTTTAATAATATCTTTTCTTGTGTATAGACTCCAAGTAACTAATGACCCTCCTGTTTTACAATCACCAGCAAGGAGGCATACATAAAGCTTAATTTTTTAGGCCTCTTAAGGTAATTAAGTTAAGGAAAACGAAGTTGAATTCTCTTGGATTGAAAATGTAATCGGAACAGGTAGCCAGCACCATTCAACTTAATTTTTAATTTTAAATATAACAACATACAGATACTATAATTGAAATTCAATTTAAAAATATATTTCATAGAATTCTTTATAATTTTGAGTATTTAATTCTTAGGTTTGGAAGTTTAGTAGATTTATTTCTCGCTTATAAAATCAAAAACTAAACTATATCATTTGCAAGTATTTCCTTTCATAAATCTAAAGTACTTTAGGATAATCAACATTCGACTGCTAATACCATCAAATAAACTAGATATTAAATATCAAATTCCAAAATGCCATTAGTTCTAAAAGTATTATAATATCTATTATTGCAAATGTACATACTATAATTATATTTTTGACATAGAATCTTAAAGATTTTCAATATTATGATCTTCTCATCTTATATATACTTAATTAAATTATAATATTATTTTAACTAAGTTATTCCCTCCCATTGTTAATGCAATCCATAACTTTTTCCCTCAATGTTTTAATTCTAAATTTATATCCAGCTTTATTTTGAAATCTCCATCCTTATGATCAGTTTGCCTTCGTTTAAATTTATTCTAAAACCTCTCCAACGTGATTTTAGCTTCCTACAATTTCTATATGTTCTAAATTCTTAATTAATCACAAATAGTCTTAAATTTAGATTGATTTAATCCTCCAATCTTATTGAATGAAAAACTATATAATAATCTTCATTTAGCAATTCTAGATACATATTTAGCATATGTAATTAATTGCTTTTTAATCATTTTATGCTTATTTAATTGCAGCTCTCTTATAGATATTTAATGCTCACAATTTTAGTCTTAAAATAAAAATTGTTTTTTTACTTATATGAAAATTTAATAATCTTCTAACTATCTCAAATGCTTCTTTATATTATTCAATTGCAGCTAATTCTAATTTTAAATCTAATTTTTTAATTTTTTCTCAGTTTCATGAGGTAATTATTTTTGATCTTAAAAACGAGAATTATTTATCATCATTTTAAAATACTGCTAATTCATCTAATTCTGACATTATTTAGATCTATTATTTTTACTTTATTATACAATTCTCCTTATTTATCTTTAGCTTCTTTCATTTTTTTATAAATTTGATTTTTTTATATATTTTTATCATTTAAAAAAAATAACTTTGAGTTCTCCAGTAAGGTAAAGTAGAAGAGTAGTAAATTTAATTGTTTAATTTTGATAAATTTTTTAAAGTATTCATAAATTATTTAACAGTTGTTTAAGAGCATTCCTGAAATTTTTATATTTTTGTGATAATTAATTATATATAAAAATTTTTTGAAAAAATAAANGAATTCTTTATAATTTTGAGTATTTAATTCTTAGGTTTGGAAGTTTAGTAGATTTATTTCTCGCTTATAAAATCAAAAACTAAACTATATCATTTGCAAGTATTTCCTTTCATAAATCTAAAGTACTTTAGGATAATCAACATTCGACTGCTAATACCATCAAATAAACTAGATATTAAATATCAAATTCCAAAATGCCATTAGTTCTAAAAGTATTATAATATCTATTATTGCAAATGTACATACTATAATTATATTTTTGACATAGAATCTTAAAGATTTTCAATATTATGATCTTCTCATCTTATATATACTTAATTAAATTATAATATTATTTTAACTAAGTTATTCCCTCCCATTGTTAATGCAATCCATAACTTTTTCCCTCAATGTTTTAATTCTAAATTTATATCCAGCTTTATTTTGAAATCTCCATCCTTATGATCAGTTTGCCTTCGTTTAAATTTATTCTAAAACCTCTCCAACGTGATTTTAGCTTCCTACAATTTCTATATGTTCTAAATTCTTAATTAATCACAAATAGTCTTAAATTTAGATTGATTTAATCCTCCAATCTTATTGAATGAAAAACTATATAATAATCTTCATTTAGCAATTCTAGATACATATTTAGCATATGTAATTAATTGCTTTTTAATCATTTTATGCTTATTTAATTGCAGCTCTCTTATAGATATTTAATGCTCACAATTTTAGTCTTAAAATAAAAATTGTTTTTTTACTTATATGAAAATTTAATAATCTTCTAACTATCTCAAATGCTTCTTTATATTATTCAATTGCAGCTAATTCTAATTTTAAATCTAATTTTTTAATTTTTTCTCAGTTTCATGAGGTAATTATTTTTGATCTTAAAAACGAGAATTATTTATCATCATTTTAAAATACTGCTAATTCATCTAATTCTGACATTATTTAGATCTATTATTTTTACTTTATTATACAATTCTCCTTATTTATCTTTAGCTTCTTTCATTTTTTTATAAATTTGATTTTTTTATATATTTTTATCATTTAAAAAAAATAACTTTGAGTTCTCCAGTAAGGTAAAGTAGAAGAGTAGTAAATTTAATTGTTTAATTTTGATAAATTTTTTAAAGTATTCATAAATTATTTAACAGTTGTTTAAGAGCATTCCTGAAATTTTTATATTTTTGTGATAATTAATTATATATAAAAATTTTTTGAAAAAATAAATAATACATCAATTAATTAATTCCTTAATTAAAATTTTTTAATATGTTCCTTAAATTACTATTTTCTAATCAAATATTTTTCAAATTTTTTTAAAGCAATTCAAATTTAAGAGTCTTTTAAATTCGACTTTGATATTCAACTTTTTTTAAGTTAATGAATTTGTAAACTTTGTAGCATATATTATTAAACTATTCAACTATAAAATTTATAAAAATATTCCTGTAAAAATCTAAAAATTTAGAATAAATAATTTACTAGGATGTCCAACTAAAATAAAATCGATATGAAAATAGCAAACGAATTCTAATGTAATTTCTTCAATAAATTATCATATGAAGAATTGAAATCTGATCTTTAAAAATTTGTATGTTTTATCAAATAATTTATTGTAGATGTAGTTAATTCATGAATAGTATTAAAATAGTTAAGACTTCTTTGAAGCTTATGATATGTATGTAATTGGAAGAGAAAAATTGATACAGATGAGAGGTGTAAATAAAGTAAGAACATTCTTAAATATTCTTATTAGGAGCAAGTTACTGATTTAATCAATCATCTAGACACCAATGAATAAATAACCTAATTTTATGATTTCTATAAGGAATGTAATATTTAAGTTTATAATATATACTTTAGAATGTTTTCCACTAAGACCTTAATAATTGAAAAATTTGTTAACACACTCATAGAGAGAAAAAATAAAATAATAAGAATTTCTATCTCCTTAAAATCTTAATAATTAGACTAATATTGTATTTTCGGCTGAAGAAACAAATATTTAATAATTGGAAAATCAATAAATTCTTTAAGAGATTTAGCTTGTACCTTCTTGTTAAGAACTTTATAACATTGTATTAAATTATGATAATGACTCAAAATTGGATAAAGTATTATACTTATAAATTTTAGGCTTACTAAACTATACAAACAATAGATAAAACTTAACTTACTGAAGATCAGACTATAAAGTTATCAGTAATTGAGAGTTCATATGAATTTATGATGAAAAATTTAATAGAATTAGATTCAGGTGGATGGACATTAGATAAAAAAAGTCATGGAATTAGTGTTTCTTATAAATTCCCACCAAAATCATCTACAGTTTCTTTATTAATGGAAGCAGATATTGAAGCTGATTGCTCTAAACTTATGTCATTGATTACAGAAGTTGAATTATTTTCTGAGTATGTTCCATTTTGTAATTATGCAACAACATTAAAAACACTCTCAAAGACATAAAAGGTTTGTTCTAGTCAACTTTATTTTCCTGTTATTTCTAATAGAGAAACTATATTTTTAGGTTAAGGTATTGATAGATTAGATGAAAATGGAACTATTCTCTTTTTATGTAAATCTATTGATTAGGATCAATAATTTTTAGATTATTATAATATATAACTTTAGAAATCAAAAAATGTAAGATTGCAATTAAATTACTACATTTTTTAAATTACTCCAATCAATAAGGCTAGATGTAAGATTAAGGCTGTTAATAACTGTAATCCATAATTGTCTTTTGTCCCAACTTGGTTAGTAGCATTAATTGCTAGAAAAGTATTTATTAAATATTAACAAGTTTGCATTTTAACTAATAGAGAAAATTGTAAAATATACTAAAAATTTTGAGAAATATCCTTGGTATAAGAAGACTTAGGAAAATCCTGAATTTTATTCTTGGCTTTAAAATAAAATTGATAATTATTTTGCTTGATTATTAAATTGTAAATAAATCTAATGAATTAAAATAAACTTTTAATAGCAGAAATTGTTAATAATAAAATTTAATAGAATCATGCACCAGTCATTTCAGCATATGCTGTTAAATAACATTTTGGATCACCATATGAAATTCCTTGTATTTCAGATATAATTTGATTCATTCCAAGCAACTCTCCTCTAAATTTAAATCAAATTTTAGATTAAAAGTATTACCTAAATATATTCATTTCATTATCATTTCCTGTAACTTATTGTATAAGATAAGCCAATTATTAAAGCTTATTGTTGATCTAAATTTCCAACTGAAGATAAATTTCAATGTAGGGTACATAAACATTAATAGTTTTTATATCTACTTGATTGTTCATAGTTTTTTAATTAAAATATATATATATTTAGTTTTTAATGGGAAACAAGTGTTTGAAACATCATGAAAATGAAATAAAGTGCAGAAATACTTTTGTTGATGAGTTTTATGCATTTAAGTAATTAAATGACCAGAACACAAGAGCAATACTCAATTCAGCTAGTATAAAAGACTATTAATTACTTAAAGTGTTAGGTAGAGGTGGGTTTGGAAAAGTGATGTTAGTTTAACAGAAAAAGAATAGTAAATAAATATTTATAATGTAATAGATAAACTATATGCAATGAAAATAATAAATAAGAGAAATTTAACATCTGAATGGATGAGAAGAAGTGCAAAAATAGAAAGGTAATTGTTGGAGATTTTAGACAGTCCATTCATTGTTAAATTAATAGAGGCATTTTAAACATAATAGAAATTATATTTGGTTGTAGAATATATGAGTGGAGGAGAACTATTTTAATATTTGAAACATTATGGTAATTTTTCAGAGGATGTAGCAAAGTTCTATGCTGCTTAGATTTTATTATCTTTAGAATATTTACATTCTAATGGTATAGTATATAGAGATCTTAAACCATAAAATATTTTATTAGAGAAAGGCTATATCAAACTTACAGACTTTGGATTATCAACTAGAAATGAAGGACTTTAATTCTCAAAATGTGGAACTATTGATTATTTAGCACCTGAAGTATTAGGTAATTAGGGTTATACTAATAAATGTGATATTTGGAGTTTTGGCGTTGTACTTTATCAAATGTTGATCGGATGTGATACTGATTAAATTGAATTTGAAAATGCTGTTATTTCTAATTAAGCAAAAGATTTATTATCACATTTACTTGATGTCAATGTTGATACCAGATTTAATCTTTTATAGGCTAAATAACATTACTTTTTTCATGATATTGATTTTGAAGAATTGTCTAAAAAGAACATTACACCTTAATCTATGTTTTTGGAGCATAGTGTATCAAAATTCATTAATCTCATAGAAATTCAAGTTCTTTTCTAAGAGTTGTTTAGAATAATCAGCTATTGACACTGAAGAATCTGAATGCGCTAGTCAACTTAGTTAATTTACATATAATCATTATAAATCCAAAATTTCAAGAGCTGATACATTATGTAGTTCATATGGTGTGCCTAAGTCTTTTTGAAACAGAATATGTGCCATTAATAATGATGTAACAAATTTAAATAAGTAATAAATTATTATTACTAATACATTCCATAGTGTATTTCTCACCAATAAATTCTCTTTATTACTTTAAATAACATTATTAAAATCTATTGTAGTACATCATCTTTAACAATTTCTTTTGATAATCTAAAAAATATTCATTTTTAACAATCTATTTTAAAAAGATCTTTAAATAATCAAAATAAAACAATAAATATTATTTATAAATATTAAATCACTATTGTTATAATTCAAGTGTTACACCTTATAAAGTGTTCTCTAATTAAATAACTCGATTTAATAATAATTAGTGTTTTTCTTCCATAAGTTACTTTGCCTTTGCTAATCTTTAATATTCTTTAGATAATTTATATTGTTCTTCAATAAATTATACATTATCCTCTTTAAGTAATTTGTATTTTTAGTTTAGAGACTCCTGAAAATTAATTTATAATTTATTTAACTCGGATTCATATTTTTAATTGATTGTAGACATTTCCAAACGTATTCTATTAGATTAATCACGTAATTAGGCTATGTTCTTTTTACTCTCTGTAATGTAACTCTGAATAAATATTTGATTACATTAATATGTTTCATAGGATGCTCATACACTTCTAAGAAATGAATTTAAGAATTCTAATTCTAATGTTCATCTACATTGAATCCATATCTAAAGTTATTTATTGGTGTTTAAGTTTAAAGTGTTGTAAGTCTAAAATCACTTTACGCCGTTGATCTCATTTTAGTTAGCCTATGTTACATTGTTTAAACTGTTCGAAGTGATTACTATGTAGGACCTAAAAAATAGTTATGGTGACACATACTGGGATTTAGTGATTTATAATATAGTAGTTGTCTAATGTTTATTTCTGAACTCATTAATTTTTATAATGAAAATAATACTATTATTATTTGTATTCTGTTTTATTAAACACTCCCATCAAAATGAAACCTTTACTAGATTCATAAATCAATGTAATTTTATACCATACACAGATAATGAAATTAGTAAGATTTTAAATTATTAAAGCTTAAATTTGGGCATTTTGGAATTCATAATAATGTATCTAATGTCAACCTTGGTGTACTTGTTCAAATTATATGGAATGTAATTAAATAAGTTGTCCTATTGGCCATGTGCCTTACTCAAAAAATAAGATTTGTATCCCATGTCCTAAGGGCTGCAAATAATGTAAATTAGGTTATGAAATGAATATTTAAAGTTGCTAAGAATGTAATGAAGGCTATTAATTAATTGGTAAAACTTATATATATATATAAATTTAGGTAAAATGTGTATTGAATTAACAGTCTTTCAAATAAGAACATCATAATTAAAAGAAGTATATATGGTTTTTAACAATCCATACAGTTAACCTTTGAATAATTAATTTGCTATATGTTAACAATTAGATTCTACTACATCACTGTGTGCTAAATGTCCAGATAACTATTTTTTAAATGAATTCAATTAATGTGAATAATGTCCGAATGGATGTATTTGCGCTTAAAGAGGAACTTGTATGTACTGCATTGGAGGATACTTTTATAGTCCAGTTGCTAATGAGTTTACAGCCATAAAAAATGCTGGATAACGATTACAAAGTGGATTTTATCAATATGGTAGAATAATAGATATATATAAATAATGTAGGTAGTGGTAGTTGTGTAAAATGTTAAGATCCAAATGCAACAGAATGTACTTCTGCTTTCTCATCTTCATGTGCAATAGGTTATTACATGAACAATTCTTAAACTTAATGTGAAGCATGCAATGTTGGATGTAGTAGTTGTAAAAGTACATCAGAAAATTGCTAAAGTTGTCAATAAGGATATTACTTATAAAATGAAAGTTGTTTACTTTGTAAAGGTAATACTTAAGAATAAATAAATTGTCTTTATTGTTATTAGAGTGATTATTGTTTATAATGTGCAAAAAATTAATATTTATCAAAAGGAATATGCTATACTTGTAGTGAAGGTTGTATTTAATGTACAAATACAACTTGTAAAATGTGTAACAATGGATACTATTTGAAAGATGGATCTTGCCAAATTTGTGCTGAAAATATCTAATACTGTGATAATGATACTGGAAATCCAAGTTAATGTGTTTATGGTTACTTATTAGTGGCTGATTAAAATAATTCAAACACTCTATTATGTATTCAAAATATAAATAATTGTATGTTGATGATTAATAGTTCCTAATTATGCTCATAATGTTATCCATCTTAAGTTCTATTTCAAGGAATATGTATAGAATGTTAATAAAAAATACCTGGTTGTACAACTTGTACAAATAACAATAATAATTTAATATGTTCTTCATGCTCTTCTAATAATTAAAATGATAATAATTACTATCTAGACATTAATAATAATATTTGTACTCTTTGCAATGAAGGATGTTTATCTTGTTCAGCTAATTAATGTTATTCTTGTATTAACAATTATTATTTATCAAATGGATAATGCATTTAATGTTAATAATAAGGATGCAAAACCTGTGATTCACAATCTTGTCAAATATGTCAATCAGGTTATTATTTAAAATAAATTGATGTTTAAAATATTTGTATGCTTTGTCCTTATGGTTGTTCTAACTGTAATCCTAATGGATAATAATGCACAGAATGTTTACCTAGTTTCGTTTTAAGAGTATCATATTACATTTTATTTAGAATAATGGTTGTACTATTGGAACCATATTCTGCGCAGAATATAATGAACTTGGAATTTGTAAATCATGTATGTATGGATTTGCTCTTAGAAATAATATTTGTGTTTCCTGTATTGATTTTACAAGTGGAGTATTAATTAATTTCCTTCTTATATTAGTATGTTTGTGGTGAAAATGCAGAACCATGTTATAGTCTTATCCTTTTAGCTATCATTTTTATTTAATTTCTTAATTGAGATATTTTCATATATTTTTATTAACTTATTCAGAATTTATACTCTCTTAATATATTCATTTCTTAAACTTTCTTTATTTAAAATTTAATTTTAACGAATTTCATCATTCAAAAAAATCTTATTTTATTTCTTAGTAATTTACGATCTCTTTTACTTCTATCTACTTATAACTCCATTCATATCAAATAAATCAAATCTTTATAATCATATTTCTTATTGAAAAATATTTTGTTCTTAAACTAGAATTTTTAATATAATTTTATTAATATCAATTCAAAGGTTTTTATTCTTTGATGTTATAGAAATTATGAATTTAGACTTTATATTTATATAATAATAAATAAAATTATCTCATTATCTATTATATTTACATTTTTAATAGAATAATTTAACTAATTATATTTTAAATAAATATGTCATTCTAACTATTTTTCCATCAATATTTCATAACTTCTTAATATGAGAAAAACTTTTAGGACTTCTAATCCCTTTATATATTTATTATCTATATCTAGTATGCCAATTATGTTAAACTATTTTTGAATTATAAATATAATTTATTGCATATTTTTTTACAAAGATTTAACTAAATTAATAGAAATTAAAAACCTTATTATTCTAAAAGTTCGATTGAATTCTTCTTAGACCATATCTTCACTTTATCTTAATAACGCGCTAAATACCCTTATATTGAGTAACCTTTTCTTATGAGAAGTTAAGTGCTCTATAAATTTAGCAACTTTCAATTCATCTCCAAGTATTTCTAGACAAAGCTATTAATTTTTTTAAGCAAAGGTAATTATAGCTTTACAGTAATTCTTTGGGATATTTTTTGAGTCTTTTTATTCTTAAATTGAAAATCCCTTTCTTTTTTAAACAGAAAGCTTAATTGAAGGTTTAGGTTTTTCATCTAAACTAAAATGCTCTTACTAATCAAATTTCTTAAAATCTTATAGATCTCTTAAAAAAACTTATTGATTTCCCAAATGTACCTTATAAATGTTATTTAAAATATATTACTAAAAACTCATCGTATCTGTATTATAAGACAAAAGGGTATTTAGGTTAATCTTGATTTTACTCATTTAATTATGCTTCTTACAACCTTCTCAAAGCTTTAAAAAAATTCTCAACTATCTGTTTTTATTTCTGTATGTAAGTAGAATTTGATTGTTATACAACCTTTAAATTATTTACAAGTATATTACTAATTCTGTTTTTGGGATTATTGCTGGAGTTTGATACTCCTCTTCTTTTACAATACTTATTTTTTACATTTTTACAAATCTTTCTGTAATTTAAATATATATATTGTTTAAATCAAGCGCAAAACATAATGATTGTATATGATGTCGTGATAGAATCTTAAAAAAAATGTTTTAGAAAGAGAAGCTGTTAGATCTATAGAAATTAACAGAGAAATTAAGAGAAAAATTAATCACAATAAAATATTTTTTTTTTAAATTTATTTTTCCATTTCTATAGAAGAAAATACTTATGATTGAAATTACCTGAAGATAGTAAAATTAAGATTAGATTTTATCAGAGTATGATTGATTATTGTATATATTTAATAGAATTTTTAAAATATTCATTATTATGTTAGTACATTTTAATATGATTTATAAAATATTAATTTTATAAAAATTTATTTTTTATTTATTAAAATATTAGGAATACAAAATAAATTCTGTTAGCATTTTTAGATCAGGATGGGTGTAAAAAAAACAGTATTTATATGTTGCAGAATGAAAGAATATAACCTTTAAATTCTTTAATGATTTTACAAATGTATACATAATTCAACTTTGCATTTGTTATTATAATGGATGTGGATATTTTTAAGTAAGAGTATATTCGAATTACAGAACAAATCATCCAATATTTTCAATTAATTGCATTTTGATTATAAATTAATTGCATTTTGATTATAAATTAATTTAATATCTTATGTGAGATATTATGGTTTGATGTAGTAAGGAATCATTCAAACTAAATATAATCAATACTATTTTTATAGTTTATGAAAAGACTAATGAATTTGTTTACTTTCTCAGTAAAAAATTTTAATTATTTCTTGCAATTTATATATTTGATAAAACAAAATAATTGGAATGGGCTTCATATTATCAAAATTGCAATAAACAATAGCAGATACAAGAAATATTAGTTTAAAATATATGATTACATCATATTAAAGAAGCTTATGAAAATTTCATAAACATTTTTTGAATTTTTTGGTAACCAGGATAAATTTAAAGTGGTAAAGCTTGATAATAATTATAATATAGAAACTGAAAACTTCTTTGAAATTGATGAAAATAAAAATTTAAATAATTATGATTTGTTAAAATTTTATCGTTAAACCTTTGTTCTGGTAAATACAAAAGATTTATGACTGCCTTTAATTGTAATCTGATATTCTTGGAGAATAGATGCTTTAATAGAAGGATATGTTGGAAATTAGATTTATATCTATATTTTTCAACTATTACTATTTTTTTAATAGAATTAAGAGAAATTTTTTTAATATTTTATATAAAGTTTTTTAGATATAATGCCTATTTATCTAATTAAGATTGTTAAAGATATAACATATTTGTATGGAGGATGATGAAAAACAAGGATTCCATAAGTAATTAATGGAGATTTAAGGATGAGACCTGACAAATTTTGAAAGAATAGAGCTTTATTAAAAAAAAACTGAATATGTTTATAGAGAAATTGTACACAATATAAATTTGAATAAATTAAATTTAACTACATGTTCTGAAGTTAATACCGTATAAAAATTGTTTAGAGCAGAAACCTTATGTTTTGACCTGAATTCAACTTTAGATAAATCAATTTAAGGATTTCTAATCTAATATTAGAGTTATTTATATTTATGAATGTAATTGAGAGTCTAAATTTTTTATAGACACTAATTATATATTATTTATTATATATTGAGTATTATGAGTGAAGATGTGATAGTTAAAAACTTAAATTATCTAATGGTATTTATTTTTTTTTGACTTAATTATTAGGCAATTTCATTTTATAATATGGTGAACCAAAATATGATGCAAAATGAGGTATAAAGATTTTCGATTAATATTCATAAAAGAATATCATTTTATAGTAAATCAGTAAATTGAGATACAATTTAAAATTTGTCAAGTGAACATGCTTAGTTATGATTAAAAGAAATGATTTATTTGATATATATATACATTATTTATACATACTCATTCAAACAATAATTTTGGTAATTCATTAAATCTAAGATATAAATTTAAAATTAATGGTAATCCTTAAATTATACCCCACCAGAAAAATAAATTTCCAAATTTTGTTCCCTTAATTCTTTTTGTACACAACATTACAGGTATTTGAATCATCATAAACATAACCATAATTGGAGTAATTTATTTTAAACTTACTGCTAAAGTATATTCATGTAACATAGCTGAAAATAGAAAAGTGGCTAATTATGCTTTCCTTACTCCGAATCCAAATTCAAAAATGAGTTCTAAATATACATGACGATATAAAAATTCATAAACTGGTCTATTCCAATTTCTATTAAATTCTTCATAATCTGTTGAATTCCACCAATCTGTATAAAATTAACGATCTCCAAAGTGTGTTATTTCAGCCCAAAAATTACAATAATTCTCAAAGATCATATTAAACAAGGTTAAACATAAAAATATAAGAGGGAGAGTCATTTAAAATATAGAGTCAACTAAAGATAAGGCATTTACATTGAGAATTATTGGATAAATGTGATTGGAAACAATCATATATCCCATAATTAACATTGATATAGCATTGATAAATTTAACAATAACATACCACCATCTAATTTTACCTGATTATGGATACTAAGGTTCATAAACTAAGACTGGAGTCATTATAAACTTAGTAAAATTCATAAAATTGATGTTATTTGGATAATGAAAAGGATCAGTACTTTTAGGACAACCTTAATCAATCCATTCTCTTCTCATTTTATAATTTGTCATAGTATAAGAATGCATTTTGAAAAAGAAGACACATGATTAAAATGTTACAAAAGCACCTTATGGTAAGTACCAATCTCTAGTTAGAACCAAATAATGTGCATAAACAAACATACAAATTTAACTGACATGTTGAATTAAAAAAATTAACACTTTCGGTATATTCATCATAGCTAAATATTGAATTAATAGAGCTATATGACTCCAAGCATAGAACTATTAATTAAGATAAATTAATACCAATGGCCATGTTACAATACACATAAACAGATCTCTACGTATTTAATTATATAAAGAGGTTTCAATCCATTAGCCTGTCTTCCAATAAGACATAATTGGATTTATTATAAAGTAATAGAAAGCTACAACATATAACATATTATAAAAGCCAACTAATTTATTCTTATTCAATTCTGAATCCTTATCCATATCATCTAAAAATGATATCCGATTTACAAATGCATGCTTTCGTAAATGCTTTATTTTAGCTTGTTTTTAAACATTCTTCTCATCAGGTGTTGAATAACCTGAACTAATAGAATCCTATTCAGAGGGATCACTTTTTCGATTTCTCATATCTAATTTTAATAATATTATTCAAAAATAATATGAAACATAAATAATTTTAATTAAACATCATATTATGAAATTCAAAATAAAATTATTATAAATATTTCATGATATCTTTTTAAAATCTGAATCAAAAAATGTACCAGATAACACAGCTTTAATATGTCTTCCTGTTGTCACTAATTTCATTCCTTATTCTTCATATATATCACAAATAGAATATGCAACATTCTTTCCTACTTTTTGACAGACTGCATGTATACTCTAATTAATTCTTATTTTATTTATTATTTCTATTTCATTTTTAAAATTACATCATCTTATATAAAAATTATAATTATTTTCATTACAAGAAGTGAATCATTTAACTTTGCGGGACTGATAAATGAAAATCCTAATTCAATACTATATTCAATATTAATATTACCTGACAGTTCTAGATAAATTTTTATCTCCTCTCAATATTGCTATAGTTGTTGCACAATCAAGAATTGTTGCTAAGGCTCCACCATGAACAGATCCATTCATATTCATAATCTCTTAAGGAACTTTGTATCTCAAAACTAAATGATTAGAATTTCTTTCTAAAACATGTCCTGGTAAAAATTAAAATGCTTAATAAAAGTGTTCTGCATATGTATTTTTCAAAATAGGAATTTATATAAATCTTTTAAAGATATCACCGAATTCTTTATGTACCATATTCTTTATAAAATAATAATTATTTTATATTAACAATCAAAAATTAAAAATTAATGATTTTAATATAAATATTTATTTATATTATTGAATATTAAATATACTAACTCATTTCATAATTTATTAATATTTATCAATATGAGTGATCAATATAAAAATGACATTGATCGAATTTAGAAACTAATTGTATCTATCAAAACTGATATCAATAAAAGAGAATAAAAAAAGAAAGCAGGCTAATAATTTACAATAATTGAGGGGGAAATTAGAGGACAATTAACAAACTTAGGTAATTATTACCTCTAATATTTATAAAGATCGTGAATTATTGTTATTAGGAGATCTGATCAAACTTTAAGAAACTAACTTAATGTAGAAAGAATAAGAGAAACGTAGAAATTAATTATAAGAGTTTAAGAATTAAAGAGACATCATATCAGATTAATTCAAAAAAGCTGTTCTTGAAACAAAATAAGAGTAATAAGCTGCACCAAAACATATGGCTGAATTAAGTAATATGTCTAATAGAGAACTTTTCAAAAATTAAAAAGATCTATAATAAGAATAAGAAAAATTATTGGATTAAACTAATGAACAAGTAAATTTTTCTATTTTTCTTAAAGGCTATGAATTTAAAGTACTCAGGATAGAATATTAATCAAACCATAAATTAACAAATAACAGATCTCAATAAATTAAATGATGATGTGGACAAAACCAATAAAAATATGACATTCGTCAATTCCAAATTTACATCAATTATCTAAAAGTCTTCAAACTGCTGGCTAATTATAATAATTGTTGTTGAAATTATTTTACTCCTCTGTTTTATCCTCTTCCTCTGAAATGTGAGATTATTAATTGTGTATTTTGCACTCTAACTAAATATATTTCTTTTTTTATCATTTATGCTATTCTATGTATTAAGTTTTTTGCTATTTTATTAATCCTATGTCTATTTCAAATCTTCATTATTTACATTTCAGATTCTTTACGATTAATTTTAGATTATGAATTAATTTGAAATATTTACTAAATCTAGAGTTTAAAAATAGTGATCAATTCATTTAATTTAATTTTTCATAAATAAATATATATGACGAAAATAGGTTTAAATGTAGCTTCAATTTACTTATTCAAATTATCTAAGTATTTTATTAAGACTTATTTATTGAATTTTTATAATTGATTACTATGTTAGGAAGAACTTCATTATTTTTTAACTTTCTTTCTAATTTTATCCCATTTACAAATAGCTTATATGATTCTCTATTAATCTCTACCCTTTTAATTGTAAATTCTAACAATTATAATTTGTGATTAATTTACATTATTCCATATTTTTATAAAATTTGTATTTTAGAAACATCAAGACCAAAATTTCAGATGTATCAAAAGGTTAATCCAATAAATTTTACTCACTTAACTACTTTAATATAAATGTTTTTATAAAACTAAAATATAAATTTGTGTTAATCAGAATTTATTGCCTTAAAAACATAATGAGTATATAGATTAAATTTTTTTCTAAGATTTTGATAATAATATCAAACTCAAATTATTTCAAACTATCAGAAATATCAAAATACAATAGCTTTATCAAAAATAAAAACTTCAATTAAATTATCCAGTTAAAAAGATAAATAATACTTGATATTGTTTTTTTGAGAATTATCAGAAGAATGCAAATATAAATTTACCTGATTTTACAATTATTTCAGAAGTAAAAAAGTCTGTTTTATATTACTAAACGAAGGTTTTTAGATATTTAATCTTTTGGAATCTTTGATGAACATTCCAAATCTATGCCTTAAATCAAATGAATTAATTATCTATAAGAAAGAATTCATAAAAGGATATAAAGTTTGCAATATAAGTTAGAGTGAAAAAAATAATTATCAAAAAGATTGCATATTTTAAAAATTGAATTGAGCAAAGACTTTTATGAACTCTAAATTAATTGTTATAAAATAATAAGTTAATAAATTAATAAATATATTAAACTTGTTCTTTGTTCATTCTTTAATCTAATATCTTATTAAATTAATTGAAAAATAGTCATATTGAATTTAAAATTTAGATTTCAAGATATTTCTTTATTTTGAACAAGTTAATAACAATTTTTCAATTTTATGACTTTAGAGATTTATATACTGTATAATTTTATTTCAAGAATCATTCTTCATTTTAATCAATTGTGAAATAATTTTCTTAAACTATAAATTGGTTTCCTTATCTTTTTATTTAATGATTAAATTCCTTGCTTATTTAGAATCCATAGATTCTAGATCTAATTCTATTTCCATTTAAGATTTTATATTGGTTGCTAAATCATTAGATTTAGAGATACACAATAGAACAAGTGAGCATTATCTCATAGAATCTTCACTCATTAACCATTTAATCAATTTTTTATGATCACCTAATATCTTTTGATCTTGAGTGTGTTCAAAAACATAAAGTACTCCTTCAAATTCTATATTTAATATTATAGATTCAATTGTTTATTGTAATATTTCACATTATTTTGGACACCACAATAATTGATTAGGTTTTTCACTAATATTTTTGTACAATGTAAAATCCTGACACCAATTAACTATAAAAATGAATAAGTAAATATTTAGTACTTTAATCTTTCTACCATTCAGAACCCATGAGTTTCTCATCAAGTAACAAGTTGACTCCAAATACAATAATATTTTAACTTAGTTTTGCGTTTGAATTTTCTTAACCCATTATAAATATTATTATTACATATTATTCTAATTCAAACAAAATCATAAAAAATTGTAGGAAACTGACAATATAAATTAATAAGTCCATAATATACACATATATATTTAACAATAAATTATATGATAAAAGATTTACAATAATAGAATATCAACATGGTAAAACGTTATTAAGTTCTAATTTTTATTTCTTAAGAACTTGATTTTTATTAACCATATCTCTAACTTTTTTAGTTTTTGGATGAGTTATATCACCAAGTAAAGGTGTCTAATTTTATTGATCTATTGGTTATGGATTATCATAAAAATAAGCATAATGATGATCCTTAATTTATGATGGTTTTATGGGTAGATTAATATGATTGATTTATTAATTTTATTCTTGGGTTTGAAGTAATTGTTCAATTGAATCATTATCATTCCTAATTAATTCAGTAAATATTTGTTAAGCTTCCACTTCTGAAATTTTATCAAATCCTTATTCAAAATTATTTTCCTATCCTTATTCTTGAATATCAGGTAAAGTTGATTATTAGCTCTAAGTTTCTATGTCTAATTTTAAATGTCTTAAGGAATTACTTTTGGAAATAGCCAAATTGTATTTAGAAGGATCCTTAAAAGAATTTGGATCAATAAATACCTTAATTCTCATGAGCATTCTTTATTAGACTCTATGATCCTATAATTTAAAATCCTCAGCTATCATATTTTCTATTTTGATCTTTTCATCAATAGCAGCAGTAATAATTTATTAGACATGCTTATTGCTATCCATCTACTAAATAAATTAGATATTATTCTTAATTTATTCTTTTTATGCATTTTACTATTAAACTTATTTTTATTCATGTTTAACTTCTGACCCCAAAATTTTATTTACATAAGGTTTCATCAACAAGTTTTAAATTTTATTAGTAAATACAGTATATCTTTCAGATTTCATAGAAGAATAATACTCAACAGCTTACTAAAAGATAAAGTGTGAATGATTACACTATATAGTTACAAAAGTTCTTGAATCTCATCTTTTGAAGTAGCATTAGATTCAACATCCAATTCTAAATTTAAGACCCTCTCTGCAAATTATGCTGGTAATTTGAGCTATTATGCTGGCTGTTAAGCTTTATTAAATAACCAAGACATAAATATAAATTAAATTAATATTTCTGAATATATCAATACATTCTTTCTCTCTTATTTTCCATTAAACTTTTTATTCTAGAAGTATCTCTCTTTCCTTTCATCTTTTTTAAATTCCAATCATCATCTCAAATTCTTTTTTCAATTCCTTTATTAATTTCATCTATCATATTGAATATTAAACACATATATTACATTGAATTAATAAAACCAATTAGAAATACTATGAGATTTATTTTTATTCCCATAACAATCAAAATTGATCTCTTCAATTTATTTTTTAACGTAGTTTTAGTTTCTAATATTTTTATTCTGAATACATATTAATATTCTTTTATTAGTTTATTCCATGATAAACTTTCAATTATTTTTTATCTAATCATTGAAATCCTAAATTTATTCACTTATACTTATTATTAAAGAATTATAAACATAATTATTCTTAAATACTTAAATACTAATTCTTAAGTATGCCTTTCATTTCTCCTTTTTTAAATCCATTTTAACATTCTCTACTAAATTTACAAAATTAATCTATTATTCATTTTTTCTTCTGATCATTAATTAATTAAACTCAACATTATTTTATATATTGATACTATATTTAAATTAATATTTCTAATTTTATATATCAACGATAATTTTATTTCTTAATTTCATTTATTTTTAAAACCAAAATTCCTTTAAAAATCTATCATTAATTAAATATTAAATTGATAGAATCATTGAACTCAATTTTTTTTAATTTTTAATTAAGAGATTGAACTCAGACCAAAGTAAATCAATTGTAAAACTTGATAATAATTTTAAAATCATAATTTTATATTTGAAGCGATATAAGAAATAAAAAAAAAGAAATAATTATAATTTGTAAAGCTGAAAATAAATTAAGAATTAAATTTATCTATTTTGAAAATTAAAATAAATTTTTTTCATATTTTTGATCATTAAAATTGAATAAATCTATATTAAATTTTTAAAAATATAGAAAGAAATGAAGTTTGAGAACAATTAGAATATTAGATAAAATAAATGATTAATATGTCTTAATGAAAAAAAGAGAGAATTAACTTTTAGAGATCCGAAAATTATTATATATGTGTTTGATATATTTGTAAAAGTTTTAAATTGATTTTATTTTTTTTGATTTGACATAATGTATAGAGAAAGTAAAAATGAGTAATAATAAATATTGATAATGGTGTTAGGTATTTTAAATTTTTTTGATGAGTGAGTGATGAGAATTGAGAACAAAGAAATTAGTAAGTAATGACGAGATGATATTAATATTTAGGGTGAGATGAATATTTTAAAGTGAATAATAATTTATATTAAATCAAAAAAAAAACAAGAATAAATGACAACTAACCTTCCTTTTATATCGAAGAATAAGAACTAGTAAAAAATGATTATATTATTAGTGTGGAAATGAAAGCTGTAACTTGGTAAAAAGATTCTCATGGTTTGTTTGATTATGAGACTAAATCTTTAAGCGTTAAAAAACATAGAGTTGAAGGATCATGCAAAGTTAGTAGAGAAGGTTTGAAAGTGTTAATATAATAATAGAGAATGAAATAGTTATATAAGATGGAAAGGCGAAGGATGAGGCACACTTACCTCTAACATCCATTTAAGCTTAAGGAGGTATATAATATTTATTATAATTCAGACCAATATTTTATTTAACCGAATTAAAACACAACAGAAAATGAAAATTATTTGATTGTTCGTAGTTTAAAAAATGCTGATGGAGTTTAAAAGGTATTTAATTATATATTACAGTATAGGGTTACACATTATAAGAAGGTGATCTTCTTAAATTAGGAAGAGTTGAATATCATGTTATCGAAATTAGAGATAGTAAGGGTTAAATAAAAACAGTTAAGGATGTATTTTAATCAGAAGCTAAAATTACACCATCTATAGATGGAAGTGTAATTTAATAATGCAAAATATGTTTAAATGAAGAAGAAACTCCAGAAGATCCTTTCATTACTCCATGTAAATGTAATGGAAGTTGTGCTTATGTTCATTTCAATTGTCTTAAATAATGGTTAGAAAGTAGAGGTTATAAAAAAGAATCTGGTAATACTATATCATATAGATGGAAAAAGTATTAATTATTTCATTTCTAATTTAGATTAGAGTGTGAAGTATGTTAGGAATTATTACCTCAATAAATTAGATTCAAAGGAAAGGTTTTAGATTTGGCTGCTTTAGAAAGACCTAATCAACCTTACATAATTCTTGAAAATACATAAATATCTGAAAAAGATAAAAAAGCATAAAGAGGAATCTATTTGATTAAAGGAACTCCAGATGATTAAATCAAATTAGGCAGAGGACATTAATGTGAAATTAGAATATCTGATATTTCTGTATCTAGACTACATGCTTTTATTAAATATGAAAAAGGCAATTTTGTTATAGTTGATAATAATAGTAAATTCGGTACTTTAGTTCGCCTTTAAACTCCATATCTTATATGCATGGATAAAATTGCAATTTAAGTATATTCTTATATACTATTTTAAGGTTGGAAGAACTGTTTTGACATTTGTTATGAAATCCTTTTAAAGTCTTAATCCAAATATACATGGTGCCGGTGTTTTAACTGTTCATCTCAATGATTAATAAAGGGCTGCCTTATAAAGTGGCCAACCTGGATTTTATCAAGGACCAAGCAAAACATAAAATAATAGTAATAATAACAATAACTAGAAAAAGAATGAAAAGCATTCTGGTTGAATGAAAATTTATTAATTTTATTCCAATTTATTAACAAATAAACTATTAGATTACATTATTTAGTTAATTTTCTATTTTAAATTCCCATCATTTTTATCAATTTCTATTTAATAGATATATTAATTAAGTTTAATTAAAATTTACTTATAAATTTATAAATTAATTATATGAAATAAAATTTACTTTTAAAATTAAAATTTTATCTCATTAAAGAATTTTAAAATATTATCAAAATTAAGTAATTGATTTACATATATAAAAGGGGATGGATCTTTTTCTTATGTATATCAAGTAAGGAGATTAGAAGACAATCTTGAATATGCTCTTAAAAAAAAGAATTTAACTAACTTATCTGAAAAGTATAGTAAAATGCTTTAAATGAAGTAGGAATTCTGGCTTTAATATAGCATTAAAACATTATTATGTATAAAGAAGCTTTTATTGATTAAGTCAGTAACTCTTGATGGTAAAATTTAATAAATAATATAAATATAGTGTTAGAATGGAACTTGCCATCGATGGTGATTTATTAGAGAAAATATAGAAATACATAAAAGCAGGGAGTTTCTTTTAAGAAAGTGAAGTTTTTAAGATATGCTTTCCAGATTTTAAATGATCTTAATGTATTACATGAAATGAAAGTAATGCATCAAGACATAAAAAGTGCAAAAATATTTTTGATAAATAATGATGTAAAGTTAGGAGACTTAAATGTGTCTAAAGTAATAAAGGAAGGTTTACTTTATACTTAAACAGGTAAACCATATTATGCAAGTTCAGAAGTATGGAAAGATCATCCTTATGATTGTAAATCTGATATATGGTTATTGGGTTGTGTATTATTTGAGATCACTGCACTGAAATTACCTTTTTAAGCTCAAGATATGGATAATCTTTACAAAAAAGGTATTAAAGGTATTATTTTATTTAGGATAATATAAAAAACTGTCAAAATCTTTTTCTTAGGATTTACATAATTTAATCAGAATGATGCTATACATTTCCACATCTTTAAGACCCAATATATCTTAATTACTTTAATTTACTTGTTTCTAAAAATTTTCATTTCTTACATAAATAAATTCTGGATAATTAATAAAAACAATTTTATTTCCCATAATAAAAGTTAAAAAAAATCTTTCTAAAACCTACATATAAACATAAACCAGATCTACAGAATTCCTATCAATAATATTCATCATCATGTGAACGATTATCTACTCTAGAAAATGATTATATGCATTCTAATCCAACTAGACTTTCTTAATATGAAAAAAACAGTAAGATTTATTTAATTTATATAGATTTAAAATAGAAAATTCATATAAATAATAAACTTGATTTAGAGATTCTTATAAAGAATCATGATTCATTAAATTAAATACTATTAGAGGAATCTATATCTCGTAAACTAAATTTTAACTCTAATTTATAACAAAAATTAGAAATAATATTATTTTTTTTTATGGCCGTTTTATTTCAAAATTTATCACCAACTCCTGACAATAAAACATCTAGATAAATTAAAAAAAATACAATACTACCTGTTATCAGAATTGTAATCAATTTTTTCAGAAAATGTATCGCTTTTACTATTCATCAAATTAATAAGAAATAATAATAATTGCAAATGCAAATGCAAGATAAAAAAATCAATTCATTCTTCTAATAACCTTTTATTAAGATTTCTTATTTAAGGCTTTAATACCACAATAAGCATTACCCATAGGAGATCTTTAAGTGTATTATTTTCGAATAGTGTCTAGCAAATCTTACTAAGCTATCAAATAAATAATAACAACCTTTTTAATCTTTTTAAATTTATAAAATTGCTTTTTCTTTGTTTATTACTGGAGTCAAATCATCGCCATAAATTTATAAAGATCGATTTCTTTATCTAGTGTCCATTACACATCTCATAAATTTTTAGCGAGATTCTTAAATTTATTTAAGTTCTTTTTTAATGTTTTCATCTATTTTTCTTTTAAACAATTAATACTCATTTATTCTTTAAATAGATTCATCACATTAAGTTTTTTATTTTGACTTTTAGTACTATCGCTTAGTTTAACTTAATAATTTAACATCTTCTTAAGTAGAATGAGACAATGAAACTTTTAATTATTCAAATTTTTTTCTCATAACTTCCATTTGAAAAATATTATTAATTCTTGATGTATTTAATTGATGGCTACTATCTTTTTATGGTTCATTATTTAAAGAAATCTATTTCTAATAATTGGCTTTTTATTTGTTTTAATGCATTGTATTTGATCGAATTCTTATATTAGGTAATATAATTTATTATTATTCGCTCTTTGGAGTTTGAATAGAGTTAATAAATTTCATTAAACTTTATTAATTTAATAAAATTTAAATCAAGAAAAGTTAAATCATATATAATATTTAAAATAAAGAATTTTTAATACTATTATTCATTATTTTTAAAACTGTTACTCTTATTTTCAAATTCTTATTTTTATTAATAAGAATCATATTTTTTTAAAATATATTGATTTTTTTCTGAAATTTCTTTTAAATTTATGATCAATATCAAAAAATATGCATTCATTGATGATAAGAAATGTTTTCTCAAAATCATAATGAATTTTTCAATTTTTTCCTCTGCATTCGATTTTTCAATAACAGTTTCTTTTTGAAAAATATAATTATTCACTTCTCTAACTAATTATACATAAAATGGTTTATAAGTTCAATTTTTCCTAAATTATAAGGGTCTATTTAATTTCATAATTTTAATGATGTTTTTATAATAAATTATTCTAAATCCTAACACTTTCTAATCATCTATTTAAAATTATTCATCAAATTTAATATTTCTATAAATCATTTTTTGGTAAAAAGAATATCTTCATTTAAAATATCAAAATATTTATGATTCTTTAAGATAAGCGAAAAATTGAATTTAAATTTTTTGATCCTGTGTATAATATTCTAATAAAATTTTTGTTAAAGTAATTAAATAATTTTGATCCAATACAAGCAGAATATGTTTTTTGTTATGTTAATATGTTAAGGGTATTTTTAACCAATCACTTTTTTATAATATTTTTTATACTCTCTCTCAAATTAGATCCTTCTAGATATTTTATTGCATAATTTAACTAAAAATCAATCATATGTTACTTTAAATCTGAAACTATAGATATTTTAATAAGAGAATTTCTTTTATTGCTAAATTGAATATCAATGTCAAGCGTTATCTCTTTATAATATTGGGAATAAATTCTCAAAGTTTAATAATATTAATTAAAATGCTAAGAGATTTAATTAATAATCATACTCCTTTAAAAAGTAATTTTGAAAGATTATCTACTCTATTTTAATGCGCTATAAATGCATATAAATATCCTTTAAAGTAAATATAAATATATGATTAGTGGTAATCATCTATCTTAATTGGGAGAATTATCAGGTTATTATTGTGTTGAAGATATTCATAAAAGAATGCTGTAACATCCTATAGGTTAAAGAATATTAAAAGATAAACCTAGGGTTACACCAGAAACATTCAAAATAGAAGACTTATTGAAATTAGATGATAATACATTTGGGTATATATTTATTTGTATCTTTAAGACATTAATATGGAAGATTTATGAAAGAAAGAGATTTCTCTAGCGGAGAACGACCTATTGTTAAATATATTCCAAATTTAGAATTAGCCTATGTTTATCAAAGATATAAAGAAGTATTATTCTACATTAAAATAAAGATTCATGATTTTATTCATGTGTTACTAATGTATGATGTCAGTGTTTATGATGAAATTGTTGTTAAATGGTATGAAATGGCTTAACTTGGATTACCTTCAGCAACTTTGAGTGCATTTGTAGGATCATTCAAACTAAATTGTTAAGAAAAACAAAAACTTATAGAAACTTTACCTGATATTATAAAAAGAGCTAACTAAAGTGAATTTATTATGAATGTTTACTTTGAAGAACATATAAATACTGATATTACACAACTTAGAAAGTCCTTGAGATTATTGTGATAATAACTTAAAAATTCCAATTTTTATGTAATACTAAATAATTTTCATATTTATTTAAAGCCTTTCACATAATCTTATTCAAATTTCTTATTTCCCATAAAATCTAATTCATCAATATCATTCAATTTATTCATAGCTATTTCTAAATGAATATATGATGATTATCCTGGAGCTCCTAATATATTTCTTTCCAAATTTAATTGCATAGCCAACCCAGAACCATAAACTGCAGCTGCTCTATGTAATGCTTATTATTCCTCTACATAATATCTCTTATTTTATATTCACTATATTATACCATCAAATGCTTTTGCTCCATCCTTTAATTAATATATATATTTAAATTAATATAAAATTCATACTAATCTTCACTTTATATTCATAATACTCATTTATAAATTATTATCATTTAATTCCATTTTTTTATCAACATAACATTCAATACACTTATTATAAGTACTGCATTCATATAATCTTCTTTTATTTCTTTTATTTTCAATCTCTTCACCAAATCTTCAAAAATTACTTAACTATTTTATTTTTCTATATTTACTATAATGTTTAATCAAACAATTCTATACATAGATTTTATCTAAGATTCTCTTTTTATATTAATACTTTCAACTTGATCCTTTAAATTTATATTTTATTTAAATCAAAATTATTAGGAATTATTTATCATGATTTAATTATAAAATAGTTTTTATGGTATTTATAAAAAGATTATAAAACTATTGTAACCAATAGCAAATGTTTAAAATAGTAAGATAAAGAATCTTAACTAAACTCTTTGTTCTAATAGAAAATCACTTTTTATCTAAATTAATTTCATTATTTTTGGATAAAAACATTTTCTATGTCTAAATTTAAGTATTTTTTTTCCAGATTGAATAAAATTGATTTTATTTTATTAATATTTTTACCAATTATCTAAATTAATAATATGACTATAACTATTTTAAAAAAAAAATAAGTTCATATTTATATGCATATTTTTAATGAGTTTTAAAATTTTATGTAATCAATAATATTATAAAATTTATATTATTATATTAATATTAATTTTTATGGAAATTGTTGAATTAAAAGAGGAAGAAGCATATCGAATATAAGATCCGACTGATATTGTACAAGTAACACTTATAGAAGGAGCAGTTGAAATCTTTGGTTAAGAATTATTAATGGTAGAATTGAATATTTAAAATATAAGAAAAAACTATATGAATTCCCTCCACATAAACCTTTTTCTTTATTTTGTTGGGTTCCATCAAAATTAAAGATTAAATATAAAACTAAAGAAGATTAACCTGGTTATATCTTTAATGAAGAAGAGATGAATTATCATAAAATGATGCATGATTTTCTAAAAATAAATCATGTTTTGGAATGTAACATAATCAATTATTTAAAGAATAAAGACAAATGTCTTTAAAATAAACTGATAAAATAGGTCCAAGATTATTAATATTAGGAAGTCATTCATGTGGAAAAAGTATTAAATAAAGTTATATTTTAGATACTCTATGCAAGACTCTTATAAATTATAGTTTAGTTTATGGTTGGAAACCAATTTATGTAGATTTGGATCCTGATAATCAATAAAGTGAATATCCTCATTCAATTAGAGCTGAAATTTAAAACTGTGTTAAAGAATAAATGTTAAAAAATAGAGTTACTTATTATTTTGGATATTAATGTACATGAATATTTTAAGAATGAAAAGATAAGGATATAGTTAGAGATATTTCAAAAAGAATGTTATTCGATAGATTATCAGAAGAAATAAGTTTATAAGTAGATAGAAAATTATAAGCAGACCTTGAAAAAGCAAAAGAATAAAAATTATTAATTTTGAATCAATTGGGAAAAGTTAAAGATTGTATTATATTGTATTTATTTATTAGAGAAATTATGTGAATTAATTTATATGAAATCATAAGAAGATAAAGATGAAAAAGAGATATATGCAAGTGGAATCTTTGTAAATTGTCCAAATTTCTTAGGCTTACATAATTAAATAATTGAACAAATAAAGTTTTTAATTGATAAATTTAAAATTACAATGGTCATTGTTATTGATAAACCAGATATTTATAGAGATCTTGATAAAATTTAAGATCTTATTGTCTATAAAATGGAAAAATTAAAAGGAGTTGTTGATTCCTATAATCTGAAAGAATTAGAATAATTAAATTATATTTCTTTCTAAAGTAGTCAATCTATAACTGAAAATTAATTAGAATTATTTTAAATGTAAATTAGAGAAGATAAATAAATAATTTTTGAAAAAACTAAATCTACTAATATAGTTAAATTGACAATTGCAGTTCTTCATCTTAATAAAACATAACTGGAAGAAAATAATTCTGAATTAAATTCTAAATTAATATTGTAAGCTCCTTTGGCATTTTTAGCATATGTTGATAACTTTGATAAAGACAAAGGTTATTTAATTTAAATACCAAATGACAGTTGTCGTCAAACATTATAGAACAACGTTTGTATTATAGGAAAATGATAAATCAAATGAAAATTTAATAAAAGATATTTATAAATCATTCATAAAAATCAATTACTCCTGTTTCACTTCTATGACTTTGTTTCACTCTCATTCCTCCGCAAGCACTTTTTTTTCTTGATTAATCTATCATTTTTATATTTGATGCTCCAAGTATTGAATTTATGATTTTTGATTTTTTATTTGCAGTTACTTAATTTTATTATTGCATTTTTTCTTCTACTTAAAGAATGATCATCAATAATTCCTTAATTTCAGGTAAAGGACATATCATTTTAATCATTTCTACTGATTTAACTGATCTTCTTAAGATCTCTTTAAAAATCATAATTGTATCCTCTATAGACATTATTTCTGGTTGAACTAATTCAACTATGGAAAAATGTTATTCTGGAGTTTTACAAGGAAGAGTCTTCTTATGATCTTGATCCAAAAAAGAACGAATATTAAGAGAATCCCCAGTTTAAGCTGATCCTCTATCCTCATAGTTTTTTCCATGACTACCTAATGATATTTCATCCTTTAAAACATTATTTTCTTAAATCAATTTAAGATTTTATTATGTAATTTATTAATTAGTTTATTGTAGGGATATCAAATTCTATAAAAATATAAAATTAAATAAATTACTTATTCTTATGCTTTTAATTTTTCAGTAAACATTTTTTTTAAATGATAAAATTCTTATTAATATTGATTAAATCCTTCAACTAATTCTATAACAGCATGAGGAGTTTTATCAAAACTTCTCACAGAAGCTTAAGATCTTAATTTTTCAGGAATTTAAGGACTCTATTCATAATGTTTAATTTCATTTTCAAATTAATTCATTTATTGTTAGAGTAAACTCAATCTATTATTAATTTCTTAATTCTTATCTGATAACTATTTATTTTATTCTAATAATTATTTAATTTCTGAATTTTTCAGTTAGATTTATTTTTTTTATTTTTCAATCTCATCTTTCATTGATGAAATTTAATCATCTAATTCTTTTTATAAAGATTAAAGAGTTTTATTTTAATTATAAAGATCAATATTCTTCTTATCTTTTTCTTTGATCTATTAATTTAATTTTTCCAATTTGTCATTTTTTTCTTCATCCAATCTTTTTGTTTAATAAGTTTATTATTATTCCAACTGTTATATTTTTTACAATAATTTACTTTTCTCATCATTTAATTCATTTAATTATTAAGCATAAGTTTTAAGTTAAGTTTACTCTTTACTTTCTTTTTATTCTTTCTCTTTTCTTTATTTCTTAATAGATGATGATTATTATTATTGCATTTCATCAATTTATTTTTTTTTAGAATACAATTCTTTAGTTAATTCTTATATTTATTCATCTTGACTATGTAATTTATTATAAAGTTCTTAAATTTAATTTTAGAATACTGTTTTAATATTTTCCATTTCTTGAGAAATTTAATTTTTTTCTTCACTTTTCAATTAATTTTATTAAACAACTAATTTAGATTCATTTTATTTAGCTTATATGAGTGACTATTTATTAATTTAAATTTCATGTTTAAATTATTAGATTTCATTAGAATGAGCTTAAGATTCATTTCTAAGTTATAATTTAATTTATTCAAATTCTAGTTTAAGTGTTTTATTTTCAGACAACAGATTTTAATTAATTTATCGAAGTTTTTCATATTCTTCAAATATTTATTATTCTTATTCTTCTTTTTTTTCCAATACCAATTAAATTTAATCAGAAATCTTTTGATTTTCCTACATAACCTCATCATTCTATTCTTTAAAATAATCAATTTAAGAAGCTTATTCTTTAATTTATTCTTCATATTGTACAAAAGCATGATCAATTTATTCCCTTTATTTAGTTAATAAAAGAGTAACAACCTCTCTGGCAATATATGCAATACTTTAAGTTGCATCAATCGATTTTGCTTCTTCTTCTAAAGAACATTCTTAAATTATATTAGCAAGTTCATCTTTGCATAATTTGCATTATTCACATTCTTTATAAGAATTCGAATTAATATGTTATAATTAATGGATTTACATCTATTATGATAATTAACTTTAAAGTTAGTTAATTAAAACCTTTTAATTAACACATTCACTTTGAAGTTCCTCCATAGCTCTATTATTTACCTCAGGTATAGTATTTCCAGTAACTTACTAAAAAAGTAATGTTTCTTTAGATTTAAATTCATTAATAACTTTTTCATCTTATTTTCTATATTCTGCTTCTTTAAGTAATCTTACTTATAAATTTTAAATTTAAGCATCTTAAGATGATATAATAGATTCTTTTTCTTCTAATGCTTTCATTTAAGTTTCAATTTAATTCTTTAGTTTTGTAATGAATTTGTTACCATCACTCATAGTTTTCTCATACTCTTACAAAGCCTTTTATCTTTCATTATCTTCATTGTTTTATTAGTTTTTAAGTGCTCTTACCATTTAATCTTTAATATCTAATTAAGCATGAAGTTCTCTTAATTCTAATTCAATTGCTTCTTACATTCTTTTTTCATTTTCTAACATCCCTTTTGCTTAATCATTTAAATCTTTTAATTTCTAATCTTTCAAATCCAATTATTACTTTAGTTATTTCATTTATTACTTAGTAACTTCCAAATATTTTCCACGTAAAATTTCTAAACATGAATAATCTTTATGTTTTTCTTATAACAATTTCATCATTTCTTCATATTCTTCAACTTTTTGTGTTAAAACTAAATTTTCATTCTCTAATTTCCTCTATTACTTTTTAATTCCTTAAATTTCACTTTCCATATATCTTTTTTATTTTTCCCAAACTCTATTTTCAATATGAGAATTTTAAGTATTTTAATTTTAATGAGAAAGTATTTATGGTTTTTTAGGTTCAGGATCAACATTTTTAAATTATAGAGATAAGGAATTCTCATTAGAAAATTCAATACTTGGAGCTATAACTTAAGGAAATATATTTTTAGCATCACCTGGTGTTACATGTTATTTTGACCAATCTACTATTTTATTCATTCTTTATGGAGTCATTGATTCTAAATATGATCCACCAGATGCATAAAAATCTTATAATTATTATTATTATTATTATTGTTGAGGCACCAAAGGAGGTTTAATTTCTTATTGATTTATTTGTTACTATTGAAGTGGCTTTCTTTTTTAATCTATTTTTTATTATTTCAATTCTCTTTACTCAACTTCACTATCAGTTGCATAAGCATCTACTTAAGTTCTATGTCGTCTCACTTTTTATTGTTATACTTCAGTATTTTCTGTATGTACTAATTTATGTAAATATTTTTATGGTGTGTTGTCTGAAAATTCACTATACGATGTTATTGTTATATCTGCATGAGGATAAGGAATATTCTCTATAATCTATTTCAACTCTTCACCCTATTTCGAATTTTAATCTCTTCTCTTAAAAAGCAAATCATCTAACTCATTGCCGCGGCTCATTATTCAAATTTTAAATATATTTTATTCAGCTTTCAACTGATAATCCTTTTAATGTTTTAGAATTTTCAAAATTTTCTATCTCATTCCAAATTTCATACTCCCACCACTTAAACTATCATAATCATTATTATTATCATTCATATAGAAGAAATCAATAAGAATAAAAATTTAATTTTAAAAATTTTACATTTTTTCTGTTTAACATTTTATTCTCTCATTTAAACAAACAACCTAATCATATCATAAATTTATACTTCCTGACTTTTTTTTACTTTTAAATTAGATCAAACTTTAATTATATATCTCTAGTTCATGATATTATTTAATTAATATTTACTAATCAGATTTTAACTTATATTTTAATCTTAAAATTTCATCTTATTGACATTAGCTTGTATTTATACAATACTTAAATGCATAATTTCAGAATCAATAACATAAGTAATAAATTTACTATACTTTATAATTTTTATAACTCTCATAATGAAAATATGTTACACACTCTTTAACAAACATATATTAATAATTATAATTCAAATCAATTAGCATATGAAAATATACTCTTCACATTAAATCCAATTCTTGAATTTATATTGAGGTTTTAAATTTAGACATTCAAGCAATATTTATTTTATGTTAAAATTCTTAAGACGAAGTCAAACTTTAATTTTCATTTTTAATATTATTATAAACATAGAAATGTTTAGAAATTCGATATGCTCTATTCCCATATATTAGAAATTTATTTAACTTTACATAAATTCTGTAATTATTTTGATTGATTTTTCCGAAATTATTATGATTCTCCAAAAATTATGTAACCAAAAGGATGTGATAATTAAATTATATGTTAAGCATTCCCAAAAATAATTAAAAATTTTTAGATGAAAATTAATTTTTTTATAAACTGTATA